TTATCAAATCCTGGCGGGGCTGAAGCAAAACTACAGGAAGATCTAAAGTTCTAAACAAATTTTTCGCATGGTCTGAAAAATGGCGGATGAAATTTAATGTGGGCAAATGCAAAGTACTAAGTCTATGAAATGTAAACAGAGAAACCAGATACCATATGAACAACGATATTATAGAGAAATCCAACTGTGAGAAAGATTTAGGAGTAATGATAAGTAAGAATCTTAAACCAAGACAACAATGCGTATTTCCTCGAAACAAGGCTAATAAAGTACTTGGGTTCATACAAAGGAGTGTTAGTTACAAAGACTAGCGAGGTCATCTAAAACTGTATCTTGCTCTTGAGGACACACCTGGATTCGCCAGTTCATTTCTGTGTTCTGTGTGAAGAAATGACAAGACTAATCCCGGGCAATAGGAATCTTGAGTATAGAGACAGGTTAAAGCATCTTAATTTGCACTCCCTTGAGAGACGTAGAGCGAGGGGCGACCTGATAGAGGTGTATAAGTGGAAGGCAGGGCTAAACAAAGGGGACATTACTAAGGTACTCAAACTATCCAACCAAGAGTGAACTCGTAACAATGGTTTTAAATTAGACAAATTTAGATTTAGGCGTGAAATAGGTAAACACTGGTTTGGAAACAGAGTAGTGGATGAATGGAACAAGTTACCAAATATCATCATTAACTCGAATATGCTGAACTGCTTCAAACGTAGGTTGGATGCTTATATGAGCAATAGGGGTTGGGTGTAAACGGGACTGCCCAGTATGGGCCAATTGGCCCGCTGCAGTTTCCTCCATTCTTATGTTCTTATGTTCTTATCTGTTTAGGGATGGGGTGGCAACCCTGGATGGCTCTCTCGAGAGGGCAGTTCAAAAGATGTCGAAGTCTTTAAGCTGCTTGGGGAACATATAAGCACGGAGGAGGAGACTGCACTGAGAGCGGGTAAACAAAGTGAAAAGTTACATAGAAATAGTGCTAGGAATGATGACAAAACTAAATTAGGCAGGGAGTTAAAACCTAAATGCGTCAAAGAGAGGACTCAGAACACGACTAACTTAAATGTCTACTACGCAAACAGTAGAAGTATGAGGAAAGAATCAAATCAGGGCGTTGGTATGTACCGAAAAAATCGATATTATAGCATTCACCGAAACATGGATAAACTTAGACTCACGTAAGTTACCTGTCGAATACCAAATTGCGGGTTACAAACTGTTCCATACCGATAGGCAGACCAGGAAAGGAGGCGGAGTAGCAATCTATGTTAGGGATAATCTGAAGTGTGAAATAAATAAGGAAATAAAAACTGAGAGGAGTACAGAAACAATTTGGATAGAATTAAGCGACGGTCGGGAAAAATTAATCACAGGAGTAATATATAGACCCCCCAATCTTGATAGCGACAATGAGCGACTTATCTGGGATGAAATGCGCAGGGCTTCCATACACAACAAAGTCTGTATAGTAGGCGACTTTAACCTTGGCCAAATAGATTGGACTGACCTTACAGGTAACTCAGAATCACAGGATTTTCTCGAGACGATCCAGGACTGTTTCCTAAGTCAACATATAACCGAACCCACACGGGGTAATAATATACTGGACTTAGTTCTGTCGAACAGAAAACTAATTAACATCATGTCGAGGTAAAACGAACTTGCAAACAGCGATCTAAAGAAATTCGATTCCAGTTAGATTTTTCAGGGCAGACGTAAGGAAAATTCCACTAAAGTACCAGATTTCAGAAGGGCAAACTTTGACAGTTTAAAGAGGCAGCTGAGAGAGGGGGTGTCGCGCTTGGCTGTGAACCTGACAGATGACACCGACCTGATAACGAGATCTGAGATTGCCGAGTTCCACGACAATTTAAATAGTGAGTTACTTAATGCACAAAGGCAGAACATACCATACAAAAAACTCAGATTAGACAACAATGACCCTAAATGGATAAATAATTATTTAAAGAACATCATTGGCCAAAGGAAGGCTATCGGTAGAAGGATAAATCGTGGCGAAATTTACCTCCGGGACTATTATAGGGTATTGGCGAGTAGGGTTAAAACCGAGATAAGGAAAGCAAAGAGGAATAATGAGGTAAGGATAGCAAGGGAGGCGAAGACAAACCCCAAAGGATTCTACCAAATGTATCAAACTAAAACAGGAGAAAAGATTGGACCAATACGGTCAGACTTCGGCGAGCTCACTGATAACGACGGGGAAATGAGCAATAATTTGAATAAATATTTTTCAACAGTTTTCACCACCGAAAATTTAAACATGATACCCGAGGCACCGACTCTATTCAGAGATAGTGAAGAAAACAAATTAAGTGAGATAGTCGTGACTAGTAACGATGTTAGTAAGCAAATAGACAAACTAAAGCCTAATAAGTTACCTGGTCCCGATGAGATATTTGCCAGAGTATTAAAGGAATGTAAGGAAGAGCTTAGTATGCCCTTAGCAAAGTTGTTTAACATGTCATTAAAACAGGTGTAGTACCAGAATCTGGAGGATGGCCAGATGTAATACCGATTTTCCAGAAAGAGGATAGATCACTATCCTCTAACTACCGCCCAATCAGTCCAAACATGAATAGTAGGCAAATTACTGGAAGCTTAATCATTTTCAAACTCTATTCGAAATCACCTGGAGAAGCACCGATTGATCAATGATTCCCAGCATGGCTTCTGAAGCGGACGTTCTTGCCTAACTAATCTATTAACATTCTTTTCATCAGTTTTCGAATCGATTGAATGAGGGCACGAATTATGATGTGGTATATCTCGACTTTAGCTAAAGCCTTCGACGACAGAATCCCCACGAAAAGACTAATTAGAAAGGTAAAGCTCATGGCATCAAGGTGACATCCTTAAATGGATGGGGCGTGGTTACAGGACGAAACAGCGGTGAGCGATACTTGACACTAAGTCCCCATTGAACGCGTCTGAGGTGGAGTTCCCCAAGGCTCAGTACTTGGACCATTATTATTTATTATATACATAAACGACATAGATATCGGCATTGACAGCAACATAAGTAAATTTGCTGATGACACTAAAATAGGACGTGTTATCAAATCTGACGAGGACTCGGCAAAAGTACAGGAAGATCTAAAAAATTTTTTCGAATGGTCTGAAAAATGGCAGATGAAATTCAACATGGACAAATGTAAAGTACTCAGTATAGGAGATGTAAACAGGGAAACCAGATACCAGACGAACAACGATGCCATAGAGAAATCCGACTGCGAGAGAGATTTAGGATTAATGATAAGTAGGAACCTTAAGCCAAGTAAACAATGTATTTTTGCTCGTAACAAGGCTAATAAAGTACTTGGGTTCATACAAAGGAGTGTTAGTTACAAGACTAGCGAGGTCATCCTAAAACTGTATCTTGTTCTTGCCAGACCACATCTTTATTGCGCAGTTCAGTTCTGGTCACCGTATTACACAATGGATATAGAATCCTTGGAAAGAATTCAGAGGAGAATGACAAGACTATTCCCGGGCATTAGGAACCTTGAGTATAGAGACAGGTTAAAGCATTTTAATTTGCACTCCCTTGAGAGACGTAGAGCGAGGGGCGACCTGATAGAGGTGTATAAGTGGAAGGCAGGGCTAAACAAAAGGGACATTACAAAGGTACTCAAACTATCCAACCAGGAGCGAACTCGTAACAATGGTTTTAAATTAGACAAATTTAGATTTAGGCGTGAAATAGGTAAACACTGGTTTGGAAACAGAGTAGTGGATGAATGGAACAAGTTACCAAATATCATCATTAACTCGAATAAGCTGAATTGCTTCAAACATAGGTTGGATGCTCATATGAGCAATAGGGGTTGGGTGTAAACGGGACTGCCCAGTATGGGCCAATAGGCCCGCTGCAGTTTCCTCCATTCTTATGTTCTTATTACAGATTGGATATAGAATCCCTCGAAAGAATTCAGAAGAGAATGACAAGTCTAATCCCGGGCATTAGGAATCTTGATTACAGAGACAGGTTAAAGCATCTTAATTTGCACTCCCTTGAGAGATGTAGAGTGAGAGGCGATATGATAAATGGAAGTCAGGGTTAAACAAAAGTGACTTTACAAAGGTACTCAAACTATCCAACCAGGAGCGAACTCGTAACATTGGTTTTAAATAAAACAAATTTAGATTTAGGCGCGAAATAGGAAAACATGGGGTTGGAAATAAAGTAGTGGATGAGTGGAACAAGTTACCAAACATCATCCTTAACTCGAATACGCTGGATAGCTTCAAACATATTAATACCAATAATACTGCAAAAGCACTAATTTTGTGGAGGAAAGCATTATGGAACTAGTTATGAAATCAAATCAAACAGTATCCGTAAGTAACTCTTTATAATAGAACCAAAGTACGAGGGTTCATATAGTAATATATAGAAAGTTTTGCCATTACAATACAGTCACTACTCGCTGACAACTTGTGAGGTCGAAAGCAAAATTCATTTCTTACGAACTGGACACACGTGTTCTTGTCAGTAGTGAACATAGTTAATAAACGCCAAACAGATAACACCATGAAAATAAAACCCATTAAACTTAAGTTTAACAGGAAATATTTACGTTTTTAGTCAACCAGATAGATCTCCTTGATACACGTAAGATGGTAAGGTGGCTAAGTGGATAAAATAATAACTTCTTGCCCTATAAGTCACTGGTTCGCGCCGGAAGCACAACCAGTTCACCCCTCTGTGAATGACTAGTTAACTTTACGGTTGTGGAAGTGAAGGCAATTTTGTACAGTACCGGGTGCACTGCCTCCTCCTGTGCTGGAAGCTTAATATTCAATGTATTGTATCTGCAGTGCCCCTAACGAGCCTCATTCTTTGGGATCCACTCTCTCTTTCACTTACCTGAAATCCATAAATCACTTACTGGACATTAACTTCTCGTCAACATCTTCCATAAAATTACACGACCAGCAGTTTATTATTTATATGTGAGATGATGGACTGTAACCACTACCTCGGAGGTGATGGTGCTGGAGAAGACAGAGGTGTCAAAGTCCCATTCACTGCATAGTTCTTCCTCCAACTCCGCCGAGGACGACGTTCTCACCATGTAGCTACACGAATCTCTGTCGGGGCAGAGTTGGATATCATAAGGAACACAACATGTCAAGGACTGAAGCTTGGGGAAGAGGAATATATAATTAGATAATCGAACCGTAGTGGACAGAATCTGAGTTGAGGTAATTCATGCTGAAACAATCACCTGATAACAACATCTCAGCACTGGGTGCCTGAATTCATTAATCATTCAGTTTAACAAAAAGAAACATGAATAAGTCTTGACCCGAAAACATCTTAAACGGAAGTATGAATATTATAGTACAACAGCTGAATGACATATTTTCAGCAAAAGTGGAGTTAGCGTCTAGACAGTATTTTATTTGTCTTTTAGTAATTTCAGCATGCCTAGAGTCAAAATCAAACGAGAGCTAATTTGGCAATCACGGGGAAATTATTTTATGGATGAAATTAAAAATGATGGTTGGTTGGTATTGGGGATTACTGGCCACTTCGCTGTTAGGCTATTTCGGCCGAAGCTGATTGATTGTAGACTCATTTTCTTTGGACTTCTTCCTTTTCTTGTTTCTTCTTTTACTTTTCAATTTCCATTCTTCTTCTTCGTCTTGTTCTGGAATATTCTCATACACTTATATAAACGGCGTTAATGATAGTGTTATAAAATCAGGTTCAATTTTGGCTTCTTCTTTTTCTGTGGTCTTCTTGGGGGGCCTTGATTTTTATTTGTTGTGGTCTTGTTCTGGTCTTGATTGGTCTTTTCTTCATTTTTCACTACAAGGAGAGCCTCCTTGTAGCTCAGTCTTGACTTACTTCGCAGCTTAGCCACCCTGCACTCCTCCCTCCACTTGGGACACTCCCGGTCGGAGGAGGAGTGAGGGCCACCACAAGCTGCGCACTTCTTGGCGGCCGCCGAGCAGTTGGTGTCCTGGTGCCCGGGTGTCCCGCAGCTGGAACACACCTCCCGAGCACGACACTTCCGCGCCAGATGGCCGTACCTCTGGCATTTGTAGCATCTTGTAGGCCTTCGTTGATCCGGTCTTACTGGGATCTTCTCCCATCCCAGCAAAACGGTGCTAGGTAGTTTCTTTGGGTAGCCAACCAGTGTAGCTGTACTGGTCAGCTTCCGAACTATTGAGAGCTGGTCTCCGATCAGCTCGGCCAGTTCTTCTTTTTCTAGATGTTCAATTTCTGTGTGGGAGATGACTCCCAAAACCAAGTTGTCTTCTATGCAGGCTTCAACTAGGATCTGGATCCCGTTGATTTCTCTTAGGTTTTCTAGTTGCTGGGCCTCTCCCCATTCCGCGAAGGTGACGATAAGGTCACCGCTGTCTCTGCGGACGACCCCTGTCACCCCCGTGATTCCTGAGGAGTCAAAAAACTTCCTCAGGACAAGGAGGTTCAGTTGCTTGCGCGATGGGCGCTTGACTGGATACAGTCTAACGACCTTCGCCTGGTTGCAGGTGAACATTGTCTGGTTCACGTGGTACCTCGGGAGCAGAGAGAACCTACCTCGCCGAGGTTCAGTTCTCAAGTGAAAAAATGATTGCTATTACGATAATTTATCGCTTATCTCCACTCAATTAACAAAATCATCAACCAATCACAAGAGAAGGAGAAATCAGCTGCGATCAACGCACGTGATAGTGGCTAGACGTACTTCAAGCAACATTAATGAAGATAGAATTATGTTTGAGTAATACTTGAGGACAATGGTTAACCAATGACCAAAATAATCCAATAATATATATATATATATATATATATATATATATATATATATATATATATATATATATATATATATATGCAAGTAAATCACTGTAGGTGCGCGTGATCTAGGTATATGCTGATAACCACAAGGAAAGAAAAACACGAAGTTCCCAAGCGCTTTCGTGTAATTCACATCTTCAGGGGTGAGTACAGACTAGTCTGTACTCACCCCTGAAATAATTACACGAAACTTGCTTCGTGTTTACTTGATTTACTTGCATATATATATATATATATATATATATATTTTTTTTTTTTTTTCATGTAGATCCACAATGAAAACGTGGATAAGATAAATCTTGATAAAATCACACGGGAAAATATACAAATATGTATATATCGTGATAAAATCACACGGGAAAAGGGAAACAATGGAGTACCTTAGCTTTCGTCTTTATTCAAGACATCTTCAGAGGCAACTGGATTACATGGACAGAGAGAGGCTTAAATATACAGGGTGACCTTATAAAACATGAGGTCAGGTCATAATGATGTCATCCACTAATCCCCACACCAACACACACGTAGAGGAGCTTAAGAGAAGGGGGGTGACGTGACTAGTCAGGCCAGGTAAAAAATAAGGGACCCACTAAATAACTATCATACATCCAGATCAAAGGTTTTCAAAGCATTTTTAACCTTGGGCCACTAACAAATAAATTTATGTAACATATTATCAGTTTTGAACTGACCATCACTAAGGTTTCTTGATTTTAATTCCTTAATCAAACTAAGCTTTTTTCCCAAGAAGTATTTAAATCATCTTGTGTCACAGAAACACTTCTGGTTGAAGCATTAAAGGAGATATTCTAATATGGATTAGGGCTTGGTTACAGGACAGAAAACAGCGAGTGAGCATTAACGGCACTAAATCCCACTGGAGCAACGTCACTAGTGGAGTTCCCTCCAAGGCTCAGTACTCGGCCCATTATTATTTATTATATGAATAAACGACATACTGTAGATATCGGCGTAGACAGCAACATAAGTTTATCTGCTGATGACACGATGTTATTGACAAATCCGACTGCGAGAAAGATTTAGGAGTAATGATAAGTAGAAATCTTAAGCCAAGTAAACAATGTGTATTTGCTCGATAAAAGGCTAATAAAGTACTTGGGTTCATACAAAGGAGTGTTAGTTACAAGACTAGCGAGGTCATCTTAAAACTATATCTTGCACTTGTGAGACCTCACTTGGATTAAGCAGTTCAATTCTGGTCACCGTATTACAGAATGGATATAGAATCCTTGGAAAGAATTTAGAGGAGAATGACAAGATTAATCCCGGGCATTAGGAACCTTGAGTACAGAGATAGGTTAAAGCTTCTTAATTTGCACTCCCTCGAGAGACGAAGAGTAAGGGGCGATATAATCGAGGTGTATAAATGGAAGTCAGGGCTGAACAAAGGGACATTACAAAGGTACTCAAACTATCCAACCAGGAGCGAACTCGTAACAATGGTTTTAAATTAGACAAATTTAGATTTAGGCGCGAAATAGGTTAACATTGGTTTGGAAATAGAGTAGTGGATGAGTGGAACAATTTACAAAATATCATCATTAACTCGAATACGCTGGATAGCTACAAACATAGGTTGGATGGGTATATGAGCGATAGGGGATGGGTGTAAATGGGATTGCCCAGTATGGGCCAATTAGGCCTGCTGCAGTTTCCTCCATTCTTATGTTGTTATATATATATATATATATATATATATATATATATATATATATATATATATATATATATATATATATATATATATATATATATCATGTGCGTTACGGCCTTCTTATGTTAGATTAGGTTAGGTTTGGTTAGGTTAAGTAGGATAAGGTTAGGTTAGGTTAGATAAGGTAAGGTAAGTTAGGTTTTGTTAGGGTAAGATACATTTCACTAATTTTGCAGCAGAAAAATCACTAATGAATGTATCTGATAACAAACCTATGAACATAATTCTTTTTCTACGAAAAAAATGCTTTACCACTTAATTTGTACCCCCCCTTTTTATTAGGTTTGATGAACTTTGATTGGGTTAGGTATTATTTAACTATGACTCATGGGTACTGCTTGGATACTTGGCAGAATAGCTTGTTATAACTTGGTCCTAGCCATACCAAGGCGTAGGCTATTGGTTGAATATGGAAAAAGAAGGCAGAGTCTAGGCATAAATATTCACTTCTATATTGGTACAAATTATTTGAAAAGTTGTAAGAAGACAAAAGATGCGTCTCTTCCATTCCACGACAAATATAAACACACTCAAGCATATCTTATTAAAAAAATAAATTATGCAATCGGGAAATAGCGACTTACTATATCCGGGTTGAGTATGTTACAGCACCTCAGGAGGTCCTGTAAGTTAGGCCTCGAATACGGACTCGCTTACGGAGTCCACTGACAAATATTTGTTTTGAGTATGCAGTACCGAACGGAGACTAACTTCAGTTACGTGGTAAACAAAGAGATACAGTCCCGTAAATGCTTTTGAGTATGCAGCCCTAGGACTACATAGATGGCTGATTCTGGTAGCACACTATAAGTTTGTGAACAACGTATCCAATGGTACACGTTAAATCACTCTAGGAGTACGTCAGCATCCTTAAATAAGGAATGAGGGTTTTCTTCTGCTGATATGACCATAGTTGAGTATATTTTATACTTATCATTGCTGAAAATGGTTCAATGTACAGTATCATCTTCAATTCATTTCGTATTAAGTGAGAGAGTGAATATTTATGTTGTTTTCATTGAATAAGTACATTCTGCATGTTGGTGGTGGTTTAATGCACAGCCCCCCCAAATAGTATGGTTAGATTTTCCTTAGCTAGAGATGGGGGTAGGATTGGGGAAGGGCGTCATCCTTGTATGGCATACTAAATACTTCGATATAACAGGAAATCCAGTGTGCTATATTAATGCATGCATCGTGCTGTGTAGAAGCAAGGCATATGTAAACAAGTCACTGACTGATGATTACAATAACGCTGATATATACATTGAATAGAAGTGTTTCGGAACATCATAACTAAGACTGTGACTGACCTTAAAACGGACATTTCACCATTACGTAGTTATACTAATGAAGTTTCATTCATACTAAGTTTCACAATATGCCTACTCATGTTGTTCACGATATGTCTGATTTATGCAGCAATAGTACTTGATATTAGAGTGAACAGCTTCAGCAATATATAGTAAGACATTTGTGGTTGTAAGTTTCAGTGTGGCAGCAGTTGTTTCATGGCGCCTAACCCATCGCGATACTGTGGGT